GCAGGTCAGATCATGTGGGCCTTGTAGGCTTACTTAGGACTTTAGACTACAAACTCTGCAAGATGAGAACCCCCTCTGGAGAGTTGAGAGCAGGAGCGTTGTGTGTAATTTATGTTCTAAGGGATCCCTGTGACTGCCACATGAACCACGAACTGGTGGAAATGATGTGGGGAAGGCATGAATGTGGCAAGAGTGGAAGCTACTGCAGCAGACCAAGCAAGAGACGATAGTGGCTTACAAAGGTGATGAATGCTTGGATGTTAAGAATGGTCACTGTCAGGCTTCCCTGGTGGCACAGTGGTTGGGAATCTGCCTGCCAATGCAGGGGACTCGGGTTCGTGCCCCGGTCCGGGAAGAGCCCACATGCTGCAGAGCGGCTGGGCCCGTGAGGCATGGCCGTTGAGCCTGCGCGTCCAGAGCCTGTGCTCCGCAACGGAAGAGGCCACAACAGTGAGAGGCCCCAAGTACAGCAAAAAATAAAAAAAAGAATGGTCATTGTCATGACATATTTCAAAATTAGGGTTTGCTAATGGCTTGGCGGCAAAGTGTAAGGGAAAAACGGGTGTCAAGAATGACTCCAAGGTTTCTGACCTGAGCACCTGGATGAATGAATTGTGGTGCCATTTGCTAAAATGGGGAACAGTGGAGGAAGAGCAAGTTTGGGGGCAGAAGTAAGAGTTCAGTTATGGATATGTTAAATTTTACATTTCTACTAGATATTCGAGTAGGGTTGTTAAAGAGACAACTGGTTACAAAACTCTGGAGCTCAAGAAAGAAATGGAGGCTGGAGATAATTTGGGAAGACATCAGCATACAATTAAAGCCACAGAACTGATGACATCATCCAGGGAGCAAGGAAAGTTCTAAAGAATCTGAGAGAACTGAGCCATCGCCCACTTCAACCTAGAGGATGGGAAAACAAAGATGATCTAGCAAAGGAAACTGAGTCAGGAGCATTCAGTGAGGTAGGATGACATTGAAGTGGTATCCCAGAAGTCAAGTAGAGAAAGACTTCCAAGAAACAGGGAGTGAATGTGTCAAACAAGTAAGATGAGGATGAAGAATTAGCCATTGAATTTGGCAAGGTAGAGGTCATTGTGACCTCAACAAGAGCAACTTCAGCTAAGTAGAGGGGATAAAAGCTTACGTCGGTTCTCAAGAGAATGGGAAGAGAGGATGGAGACAATAACTCATAAACTATTTTGAGGAATTTTCCTCTCAAAAGGAGCAGAGTATAGGAGTGGTATCTGGAGGGGTACATGGGGTTAAGGGAAGGTTTGGTTTCTTCAAGATAGGAGTTATTGCTGCATGTTCATGTGCTCATGGGAATGATCCAGTGGAGAGGGAAATAAAATGATGTGGGAAAGAGAGGGGCTAATTTTAGGGGCAAAGAGCTTAAAGTTAGGTGGAATAGGATTCAACATACAGATTGAGAGAATGGCCTCTGGTAAGAACAAAGATAGCTTGTCTATTATTAACAGGACAAAAGGTAGAGTATATATGTATAGATCCTGGTAGTTTGGTAGGTTCCATGTTAGCAAATGAATTGATTAGGGAAATGTAGTATGATTGCCATACAATCACTGAGAGCAATGAAACCACACTTGAAGTTCAAGGTCATGGATCTAAAGGTCAGTCAACACAGTTGTTTGTTTTCCCTTGTCATCCTTTTTTTTTTTTTTTTTTTTTGCATCTTTTCAAGTGCAGGCAAGAATTGGATTTAACTAAGCAAGAATGATAGAGGGAGAGAGACAAGGGAGCTAATACTTGCAAGGAAGTGATTCCACTGGTAGACCATGGACTAAGGTAAGGAGAGACAGAAGGACATAAGGTAGTAAGTGATATATAATGAACAGTTGATAGCATCAGTGGATTAGAGGTCCCTTTGAAGCTAAAGAATTGAGAGGGTACAAGGAGGAGTAAGTGAGCTGGAAAGATAGATGTGCTTAGAGATTAGAGTGCTTGAAACAGACATTTTGGATATGATACAGCAATTGACATTATCAAAGGCTAATGCAGTGGGTGTCTAAGATGCAGTGAAGGATCCCATCATTCAAAGTGAAGAGGTCAAAGAACTAAGAAGGCAAATGGATCACCTATACTGAAATATCCACACAAAAAGGTGTCAAAAGGGTTGGCGGTGGGAGAAAGACAGTAAACTAGAGCAGTTTCAGTGGAGTGGAGGAGAAAGACGCCTAACTAGGTGGGTAGAGAAGAGAATGGCAAGTAAGAAAAAGGAGTCAGTGAGTACAGATAACTCTTTTGACAAGCTCTGCAGTGACTTGCAGAAAAATGGGGCTGATGGTGCGAGAAGGAAGGGTCTGAAGAAGACGTGGGGTTAAGGATTATTTCAAGATAGAAGATTCTGCTCAACATCATTAATCATTAGAGAAATGCAAATCAAAACTACAATGAGATATCATCTCACACCAGTCAGAATGGCCATCATCAACAAATCTAGAAACAATACATGCTGGAGAGGGTGTGGAGAAAAGGGAACCCTCTTGCACTGTTGGTGGGAATATAAATTGATACAGCCACTATGGAGAACAGTATGGAGGTTCCTTAAAAAACTAAAACTAGAACTACCATACGACCCAGCTATTCCACTACTGCGCATATACCCTGAGAAAACCATAGTCCAAAAAGAGTCATGTACCACAATGTTCACTGCAGCTCTATTTTCAATAGCCAGGACATGGAAGCAACCTAAGTGTCCATCGACAGATGAATGGATAAAGAAGATGTGGCACATATATACACAATGGAATATTACTCAGCCATAAAAAGAAACAAAATTGAGTTATTTGTAGCAAGGTGGATGGACCTAGAGTCTGTCATACAGAGTGAAGTAAGTCAGAAAAAAAAAAATACTGTATGCTAACACATATATATGGAATCTAAAAAACAACAACAACAAAATGGTCATGAAGAACCTAGGGGCAAGACAGGAATAAAGACGCAGACCTACTAGAGAATGGACTTGAGGATACGGGGAGGGGGAAGGGTAAGCTGGGACAAAGTGAAAGAGTGCCATGGACATATATACACTACCAAACATAAAACAGATAGCTAGTGGGAAGTAGCCACAGAGCACAGGGAGATCAGCTCGGTGTTTTGTGACCACCTAGAGGGGTGGGTTAGGGAGGGTGGGAGGGAGGGAGACGCAAGAGGGAAGAGATATGGGGATATATGTACATGTATAACTGATTCACTTTGTTATAAAGCAGAAACTAACACACCATTGTAAAGCAATTATACTCCAGTAAAGATGTTAAAAAAAAAAAAAGATAGAAGATTCTAGAGTATATGTGTATGCTCATCGGTCTGATTCATTAGAGAGAGACTGATGCTGTTAGGAGAGAGAGGGGATAACTGCAGGAACAAAGGTCTTCAGGAGACATGAGTGGAATCCAAAGCACAAGTGGAGGCTTTTGCCTCTCGTAGAAAGAGGCACAGTTCTTCCCTGAAACATGAGAAAAGGGAGAATCCATGGGTGCAGGTTAGAGTAAGGCAATAGATCAGCGGTAAGAAAATAAGGGAGTTCATGACATCGCTTCTAATTTCTCAAGTGTGAGGCAAAATCTTCCGCTGTTTGGGGTCAAAGGTGTGAAGGCTGGAGTAGAGTAAAGAAGGCATTTAGTCATCTCACAGATTAGAAGAACTAATTTATTAGGTGAATAAAGTGGGCTTGCTAGGCAGTGCCAAGTGACCAGCTGAGATTTGTGGTCATGAAATTGAAATAAAAGTAGTCAGTATGATTGTGTGATTTTGTACAGGAAGAGTCAGCTGCTCAGGTGTAGGCAGAGGATGGATGGGTGGGCTTACCCAGGGTTGAGGTTTTCCCAGGAGAAGTACGGTGAACAGCCAAAGAGCCAATGGGAGGTGAAGATGTTGTGAGCAAGCAACTGACATGACAGACCATAGAATCAAGGCTGATAAAGACAAGTCAAGGAGAAAATGAGATGAAACATGGTCAGCCAAGGAACTGGAAGCCTAATGTGGACAAGGAATTGTTCTGGGTGGAGTCATCAATGAGAGGCCATAAGTGAGCTGGATGTTTATACCCAAGTCCCATCAGCCCTGTTAGCTTGTGATCTTGGTGATGACTGAACATACACTAAGCACTTAGTAAATATAGCTTGAATTTTTGTTCAATGAGTGTTTTGTTACTACATCTTTAACAATGTAATAGCATTTATTGAGCACCACCATGTGCTAAACACTGAGAAAACTATCCTCCCTTCAAGGATCCCTCGCCTTAGCTGAGGAAAATGATAGTGATATAACCCAAAATCTTAAGTGCTATAATAGACGTATGTTCAAAGTGGCAACCCAGAGGACTGCAATGACCAACTGTAGAGAAGCCTTAAGAAGGGCTTCATGACAGTGATTAATCGAGGACAGCTAGTGACAGTGACTAATCAAGGACAGCTAGGAAGTCCCCAGGTGGAGAGAGAGCAGAGTGAAGAGACTGTTTCATCACCAGAGTCTCAATTTCCTATCAGAGCTTCTTGAGGTCCAAAGACAGGGCATTGCAAAACAGCAGGTAAATGACACAAGTGTTATCCTCCTTTAAAACAAAATGGAAGGGACTTCCTTGGTGGCAGAGTGGTTAAGAATCCACCTGCCAATGCAGGGAACAAGGGTTCAAGCCCTGGTCAGGGAAGATCCCACGTGCCGTGGAGCTACTAAGCCCGTGAGTCACAACTACTGAGCCTGCACTCTAGACCCCACGTGACACAGCTACTGAGCCCTCGTGCTTAGAGCCGGTGCTCCACAACAAGAGAAGCCACCACAGTGAGAAGCCCGCGCACGGCAATGAAGAGCAGCCCTGCTCGCCGCAACTAGAGAAAGCTCACGCAGCAGCGAAGACTCAGTGCAGCCAAAAATAAATAAATAAATAAATTTATATGAAAAACCGAAAAGGTTCCTTGCAGGCAAACCTTCCCATTAGAACCCCCAAAGGGACCCCCAACACCTACCTCTCAGGGAAGATGGCAGAAGCCGTGGCGGGAATCTGGTCAGCAGAGACGGGGAGATCATCACACCAGCTCTGGGAAGCAACTCGACTTCGTGGGGCTTGTGGGGCTCGCGGGGAGCATGGGGCCCCTGGGGCTTATGGGGCTTGAGGGCCTCACGGGGTGGATGAGGCTCGTAAGGTGCATGGGGTTTGGGGGGCCTGTGGGGCTCACAGGGCTGGTAGAGCTCGTGGGGCTTGGGGATCTGGTGGGACTCTGCACACCCCTTGGACTCGCCTGGCTGGTCTTGCTCGCCGGCCTCCTCGGCTAACCCCTCGGACTCCCCAGGCTGGTTGTGCATGTCAAATATGCTGACTACAAAGGGCTTCTGGAGGGCTTCGGAGCGAGCGGATATTTCTGCCATGTCATGCCCATCGGACAGCCCAGAAGAACCCGAAAACTCCTGGCTCTCCATTGGCGGCCCAGAAGCTCCCGCTGGGCGACGGCCGGAGGCTGCTCGCCTTCTAGAAGATGGGAGAGGATGGGCTGGCGGCCCGCACTCCGCGCGCCCCGCCCCAGCGGGCCAACCCAGACGCAACGGCAGCGCGCAACAAGCCCCGCCTCTGGGCCCCTCCCTGCACGTTCTCCCGTTGCCAAGAGGACGCACCAAGCTGTGGGGATCCACCTGGGGCCCCGCCCCTTAGAGAGGAGGCAGGTGAAAAAGAGAAAAGGGGCAGGCTCCTGATCAGCTGTTCTTGCTTCCCTTTCTTTAAGTCTGTTTCTAAGCGCATACACTTGCATATAGGATCATTATATCTTCTTGCAGAGTTGACCTCTTTATTATGTAATTCCCCTCTTTTAAAAAATTATTTTTCCAGTTTTATTGAGAAATAACTGACATACATCCCTGTATAAGTTTAAGGTGTACAGCATGATGGTGTGATTTACATGTATTGTGAAATGATTACCATGATAAGTTTAGTTAACATCCATCCTCTCATATTGATACAATAAAAAAAATTTTTTTTTCTCCTTGTGATGAAAATTCTTAGGATCTACTCTCTTAACAACTTTCCTATAATGCATACAGCAGTGTTACTATAGTCATCATGTTGTAGGTTCCATCCCTGGTGCTTATTTATCTTATAACTGGAAGTTTGTATCTTTTGACCACCTTCCTCTAACCAACCCCCTCCTCCCAATCCATATAACCACAAACCTGATTCCTTTTTCTGAGTTGGGTGTTTGTTTAATTCCACATATCAGTGAGATCATATAGTATTTGTCTTTCTCTGTCTTATTTTGCTTAGCATAATGCCTTCAAGGTCCACCCATGTTGTTGCAAATGATAGGATTTCCTTGTTTTTTAATGGCTGAATAATATTCCATTGTATGCATGTTTGTATGCATGTATATACATATATATATATACACTACAAATTCTTTTATCCATTCGCCCATCCATGGACACTTAGGTTGTTTCCATGTCTTTGCTACTGAAAATAACGCTGCTAGGAACACGGTGGTGCAGATACCTTTTTGAGTTAGTGTTTTCATTTCCTTTGGATATATTCTCAGAAGTGGAATTGCTGGATTATACGGTAGTTCTATTTTTAATTTTTTGAGGACCCTCCATATTGTTTTCCACAGTGGCTGTAACAATTTACAATCCCACCAACAGTACCAAAGATTCCCTTTTCTCTACATCCAAGCTGGCATTTGTTACCTTGTCTTTTTGATGATGGCCATTCTAATAGGCTTGGGGGGATACTTCATTGTTTAACTGGCATTTCCCTAATGAGGAGTGATGTTGAGTATCTTTTCATGTACATGTTGGCCATTTATAGAACTTCTTCAGGAAAAATGTCTGTTCAGGTCCTTTGCCATTTCTTATTTTATTTTTTCTGCCATTGAGTTGTCTGTGTTCTTTATATATTTTGAATATTAACCCCTTATCAGATATACAGTTTGCAAATACTTGTCCCATTCCATTGGTTGTTTTCTCATTTTGTTGATGGTTTCTTTTGCTGTGTAGAAGCTTTTTAGTTTGATGTAGTCCCACTTATCTTTTATTTTGCTGCTTGTGCTTTAGGTATAATTCCCCTCTTTATATTTGATAATTTTCATTATTCTCAAATCTTCTGTGTCTGAAATTAATGTAGCTACTCCTGCTTTCTTTTGATTAGTGTTATATCTTTCTTCATTCACATAATTTTAATCTATATGTCTCTTTATATTCAAAGTGAGTTTCTTGTAAGCAAGAAGTGAGTTTATGGATCTTTTACTTTTTAATCCACTCTGAAATTTCTGTCTTTTAATTGGTGCATTTAGACCACCGACCTTCAAAGTGATTATTGATTTAGCTGGATTAATAGCTACCATATTTTTACTGTTTTCTTGTTCTGTTGTCCTTGTTCTTTGTTTCTCTTTTTGTCTTCCATTCTTTTTCTACCTTTTGTGGTTTTAATTGAGCATTTTATTTGATTTCATTTTCTCTCTTTTCTTGGCATATCAGTTATAACTTTTTATTTTTTTTAGTGGTTGCCCTAGAGTTTGCAATATACATTAACAACAAATCCAAGTCTACTTTCAAATAACACTATACCACTTCACAGGTAATGTGAATACCTTATAATAACTAAATAATCCAAATTCCTCCCTCTCATCCCTTGTATCATTGCTGTCATAACATTTATACACACATATCAGCATACATAGTCAAATATAATGTTGCTATTATTATTTTGAAGAAAATGTAATCTGTTAGATCAATTAAGAATAAGACAAATGAAAGTTTTAATTTTACCTTCACTTATTCCTTTTCCAATGTTCTTCCTTCCTTTATATAGGTCCAAATATCTGACCTATATCTTTTTCCTTCTGTCTAAAGAATTTCTTTTTAACATATCTTGCAACAAAGAAGTACTGGCAAAAAATTCCCTCAATTTTTGTCTAAGAAATTTTTCTCCTTCACTTTTGAAGGATTTCACAGGGTACAGAATTCTAGGCTAATGGTTTTTTTCTCTCAACACTGTGAATATTTTACTCCACTCTTTTCTTGTTTGTGTGGTTTCTGAGAAGCCTAATGTACTTCTTATCTTTGATCCTCTATAGGTAAGGTGTCTTTTCCTCTGGCTTCTTTCTGGATTTTTTCTTCATCTTTGATTTTCTGCAGCTTAAAAGTGATATGCCTATCTATAGTTTTTTGTTGTTGTTGTTGTTTCTGTTGTTTTTTGTCGGGGAGGGCATTTGTCCTCTGAGCTTCTGGGATCTGTGGTTTGGTGTCCAACATTAATTTGGAGAAATTCTTAGTCATTGTTTCAAATATTTATTCTGTTCCTTTCTTTTCTCTCTTTCTGGTTTCCCATTACACACATGTTGCAACTTTTGTAGTTGTCTCACAGTCCTTGTATATTCTGTTCTGTTTCTTTCTAGTCTTTGTTCTTAGATTTTCAGTTTTGGAGGTTTCTATTGAGGTATTCTCAAGCTCAGAGATTCGCTCCTCAGCTATGTCCAGTCTTTTAACAAGCCCACTAAACACATTCTTCATTTCTGTATGGTGCTTGTGGTATCTCTTCTGTATTTTTTGCATTTTAGTATGTCTTGTAGTTTTTCTTGATAGCCAGGCATGATGTACTGGGTAAAAGGAGCTGCTGTAAACAAGCCTTTAGTAATGTGGTGGTGAGGTGGGGGGGAGGGGGAGCATTCTATAGTCCTATGATTAGGTCTTAGTCTTTTAGAGACTAAGTGCCTCTGGATTGCAAACTTAAGTCTTAGTTTTCTGCCCTTTTAGGTGGAACAGAATGTCTAGAGTGGGCTGGAGTTGGGTATTTCCCCCAGGTCAGTTAGGCTCTGGTAATAACCCAGCAGGCTAGGCTCTGGTTAACTAGTTTCCCCTGAGGGCAGGCCTTGTTAAGAAGGACAGAGTGCTCTGGCATATTTCAAAAATTTTTTTCCCCTCCCTTGGAAGCACCAGGGGATTTCTCTCCAATATTTATTATAGGAATCTGGTCAAGGTTCTGGAGGTAAATCTCAAATAATTGGGGGCCTCTCCAATGACTGGGTTCCCCTAGAGTTTTTTAACTTTCAGATTACTCCACTTTGCACAACCAGCAATTCATCAGTCACCATTCCGTTTTTTCTACCCTGGGGTTCCCATGGGGAGTTTCCCACTATAAGTCTCTGCTCTGGTAAATTGTTAATCTCTGTATTCTCCTGTTGCTCCCTCCAATGCTGATTTTTTAGTCTGTTCAGCTTTTTAACTTGTTAGAATGGAGTGGTAGCTTCCAAGCTTCTTACATGCTGGACTCAAAACTGGAAGTCCTTTTTTTTTTTTTTTTAAAAAGCTCAAGACAGGACACTAAGGTTTGAAGTTGGATTTATATCATGTCTGTAGGTAAACAGAGTTATCACTCTTACAAAATATTTCTAGTAAAGAATGCTTATCTATATAAAAAAGCTAAATATCAAGAATTTAAAAAACAAATCCTCACAGTGTTCTTCTTTTAGTGCAATAGTTTCTTAAAAAGAAGCCTTTCCTAAATCTTTCTGAATGCTGTTAATTTATATTTCTATGTGGGTTTGACAGTGCTTACTTTTCTTATTGCCCTATCCTGATATTTCTTTCCC